TTACCATGTCTATCTGTCTAGAATCAAAACAGACTATGCTCTTTCCGAAGGTTGTAAGACCCTGTCCTTCAACATCCACTGTATCTCAGTGTTAGCAATGTCCCTGGTGCTCCAGGGAATGTGACATAGTCTCTGCTTTATTGGACATGTGTCACCCGTATCCATGTTGTGGAAAGTCACTGTTGCTTGACCCAGTGGGAAATCTAGTATATAAATACATCAACACAACCAACAAGTCACTGAGTTACTTTCATTATGTTAGATCTAGAATGTTTTCAAAATACTAAACTAATGATCACAAATATATTGATACCTATGTCTTACTTTTGGGTGTAGTGCAATGAATGCAACCTTCGCATTACTACTAACCTAGGTTACTGTTCCTTCTCTTACCACATCTATGAACATTGTTTATAATTTGAAACAATACTGAGACTTCATCCCTTCTTAGACTGCCCAAGCTAAAGTTGCTGGTCCAGGTCAACAGAGCAATAAGGTTTCCTGAAGTTGAGATCATTGGTCACCCTGTCAGGTTACCTCCTGGCTCAAATAAGCTCACAAATACCTCATGGTTAAGTCTTTTCTGCTTCATGACTGCTGTATCACTTTCCAGGGAAAAAGCTATGACTTGCAGAGCTTGTCCAAAATTGGAATGTCTAGTACTTCTTGGTTGGTCTTTACCAGAGCTGGGGGTTGAGGTACACTGGCTGCAGTGGCCTGGGAACCCTTTACAACATCCATATAGTTTTAGCCTCACTAGATGCCATGCCATCCTAGTGACTCATAGCCAGCTGTTCTTTCCTTGCATCAAGATTAATTTTCATGAACAATGCCTGATCTGAAAAAACCAAACATTGACTAATATTCCTTCTGTGGTTGTTGAAATATCAACATTAGCAGAAGTCCTATGTCCTGGAGGAACTTCTCCAAACTTCACATTTTTCTTGTACAACCGTCTCTCTTCACAAATATTTCTACTTGCAGAAAATGCCAATATTCAAACCCATACAAATTACAGTAATACCCCCACAAGCAGAACAAGTATAACACAAGAGATTAAAAAAGAACATAGTTAGCTTGAACAAAATCAACTTAAACACACATGTTATGTGAAATTTGTGAAGAGTCAAAATAAAATGAAAATTTCTACATTAAGAAAACAAGGTAGAAAACCTAGGGTATATTGTACCACACCAGGCTGTATCACATGCCACCTATTATATAGCTACTCTTAACTGAATAGCATTTTTTTCTAATCCCAATTATATGCTCCCACAGGTGATAGTATGTGTGATATTATATACACCTGGAAAAAAGTTAAGCACCCCCAAATATTTTTCAGGATTGCTTATTGAAAATAAGGTTTAATTTTCATGATGTTGAGCAATGTTCATAATTTCAAACATAATTAAAAGGAT